TGCTGCGGTGCAGAACTGCACAACTTTCTTTTCTTGCTTGTAATCAGTGAAGTGGCTCAGAAACAACTAAAGATTCTCTGCCTGCAGGCATTTGCCTCCTTTGAAATTCTGCAAGAGGTTAAACTCTCCTTGACTGCTGGCTTACGCATGGGGTAACTTACCTGCAGCAGACTGGTGGGCACACAGGGCAGGAAACATTTGGATCCAGGCTAGTCAGATTTAAATAAGACACTAACATCTTCCCACCCATCACCCCAAAACAAAAGCAGGTAGGATGAGGACATACCTCTTGCACTGAGCAAGGTAAAACCACTCGGCTGAAAGAGGAAAAGAGCAAATTCAACAAAATGAATAATTAGGCTTCATCTGCAGATAACAGATATAAAATGCAACAAAGACATTCAAGAAGGAAGTGTTAAAATGAGTTAATTCTAGTTTTCTATTTCGAAATGCTCCGTGATAGCAAGGCTGCATGGATATAATGCAACAAACCGAAGTAAAATTCAATGACAGATATACTACAAAAGGGGAAAAAAAGAGGTTATGAACATTAGAAGCTGCAGAGAAGAGTCAGGAAATCTAGGATCTACTTCCAACTCTGCCATAACTTTGTATTGTGCTGAATTTGTTCAAACTTTGAGGCATGAGCTTTTTTCATACGTCACACAGTAAGCAGTCCTATCTGTACAATTTAAAAGGACAAACGTGCAGGCCCTCAGAGCCTACAAATGAATTTTGGCAATTACAGCAGTTACGAATAATTTAAAAAGCAACCACAGCTCATATCCCATTTAGGTGGCAGAAGCAAGTGAATTTTAGGCAAACAGTTTAGTTCTAATACAATACACTGTACAGTTAACAGCAGCATCAGGGGATGCGGAAGCAGATTTTTCACAGCAACAGTGCACTGCACAGACAGTATTTTTCAGTTTCACCTTACATACTAAAATGGACAAAGACAATGCAAATCATTATTGTTACAAAACATCATCATAGAACAACTGCATTGTTCCTAGGGCTTTTAAGTGATGTCACCTCCTTTGCTGGCAACATTATGGCCATTAAGATCCTGAAAGCATGAATGTAAGTTAAGCCTGTCCACTGTTCTAGAGAGGAAGAAAGTTACAGTTAGCTGATTCAACTCTTGCTACCCTCTGCTGCATCCGCACTCAGTGAACAGTGAGTTTGATGTGTTTTTGTTTAGGTACTACCACGAAGCCGACTTCAGCAGCTTCAGTGCTTTGCACCCGCCCTGTACAGCTGAAAACGCAGCAACTTTGAGAAGATAGAAACAATCATCCCTGCGGATCAAATTCAGTCTTACAATTTCCATGCAACTTCTTCTTTATCCCTTACTGGATAAAGACTTTTCTATTTTAGTCTATGTGCCTCACTGAAACAGCTTAAATAAAACTGTGAAACCTTCAGAGAGAAACTGAGAAAAACATAATCAGCCTCAAATGTTGCTAAGCGTCAGGCCAAAAGCAGAGTTTGCATTTAAACACACAATGGCCAAATAGCAGTCAAAATAAAATTCCCACAAGCAGCTCTATTATATCTCATTCTACCTGTTAAAAAAGTCCTTAAACTGTTTTTAAAGCTGGCTAGCAAGACCAATAGAGACAGAAGACAGCTGTCTTGGCATTAGCTGATGCTGACTCAATACCAGGAGAAGACACACTTGGGGCTTGCAAGGCAGTATAGGAGATTTTTGGGCCACTTCAGTCTTTTAACAGGACAATATGTGAAATAGGAGTATAATCACAAAAACACAGCAAATGTACAGGTACAGGGAAATGTGAGGAATTAAAGGAAAAAATTATAAGGAACAGGTTTTTTTGAACTTAAGAATGATGACAGACAAACAATACAATAATTCAAAAGTAGCAAACAAATCTGATGAGAACTTATAAATAAGTACACAGCCCACCATTATCTTGTAGGAAATGCAAGACAGACAGCTTCTCCTATGAGGACTGGTGCAAGCTCTCGCTAAAACACAGGAAGAGTGGGACACCTGGTTCTGCATGTCGCATTGCCAGATACAGCACTGATACCTCAGTCCTGTCCACTTGCACCTACTCTCTGAAGCTTAGTTAAATCTTTGAAGTATCCTTGGAAGCCTCTTTAGAATCTAATACACATATTTGCTACTATCTATTACTTTGAACTTACTCATCACCTTTACTATCCCAGCAGAGACTTTGAGATATTTTAAAGTCAAAGGCGTGGGAGGGAGGAACAAACCAGCTGGTGGTTTGCTAGCACAAGACCTGATGGGAAAGATCTACCCAACGACACAGAGCTCCCGGCACCACCAGAACGGATAACCACAGAGCGATGAAGGACACTGACACCACTCCAGGACTGTCCCCATTGCCACTCCAGTTCCTTTCTAAGCAGAACGGGGTTGCGACTCAAAAGCACCTGAAATACAGAACCCCCTACAACGTCTACCAGAGACACATGGACATCACCGCCTTGGTAAAATCGGAGCCTCAAGGGGATGAGTTTGAGAAACTCATTGTGTGGGGACACAACTCACTTGCTCCGGGGCAGGGATTACCCGTCAGGATCACCTCGACTATAAGTACACGCTCAAGTGCGTGTAAAGTCGATAGTATATTCACTTGGTGTCAAGCAGCAACTTAAGGCTGAAGCACAGGACGTGGAAGCGGTGCACCAGCCCACGAAAACGGCAGAGATGCACAGAGCAGACCCCCGCCCCAGGCCGGCAGCGCTCCCGGCCCCGCGCTGAGCCGCTCCCCGAATCCCGTGGCGAAGTGGAGGCGGCGGGGAGG